AAGTGTGGTTGATAAGTGGAGATTATCCTGCTGTACAAAACATGTAAGTATCATAAACATGTGTTTGCCACAGAGCTTATTTTCTGCAATATTCTGAAAACCAATACAAACTTCTCATTGTTTTTTGGTCAAGGGAGCGCTTGTAATGCTAACTCCTGTGAAGATGGTTATTTTAGAAAAATATACTCACAGTGCATTTCCCAACACGGCTGTACTTGCGGCCATTCTCTGTCACAGCATAGATGTAAACAAAGTTGTCATGTGATGCGACAGCCAGGAAGTTACCGTCTGCAGGAGATCAGGAAACAGTTAGTCTAAAGAGTTTATACAGGACAGGATACACTGTAGACTGTTAACAGGTGATGCTTTACCTGGAGAGTACTTGATGTTGGAAATGATCTCATTGCCGTCTGTGTGCATAGAAACAAGATCCCGGGTGTCAGTGTCCAGCACCAACCACCTGACACACACACACACACACACACACACACACACACACACACACACACACACACACACACACACACACACACACACACACACACACACACACACACACACACACACACACACACACCAGAGGAAAAGGCTTATCAGAAGTTCACACAACAAGTCTTGTTATGTAAAACAAATACATATATTAACAGTATATAAAATGTCTTAATTGGTGAATTATTGTTATTTATTTTCTAATAAATAACCAACAAATGTATTTATTAGCTAACTTGTTTCCAGAGTGTAAAGACCTTGAGAGTCAATGTATTGATTCATTCCTCTGTGACTTAACCATTTCAGATAAAAAGCATTAGGATTAAATACAAATAAGGAAAACTATAGATGCAACAAGTACATACATGTAGGTTAGGGTAGTTCTATTTCACATTTTAATATGATTTATTTATTTTTTGATACTAAAATGCAATACATATGTGTGTTTGAATACAACATGTAAATGAAAAATAATTCCCATTTTTGCTTGGTCTATAATATTTTCTAATTGAAATATGTATATCTAAATAGATATTTAAAAGAAATGCAGATATCCCTCTTAAAGCAGCCCCCCTGCAGAACTATAGCCGAGCAGTGGTGAATAATAGTTGTGCTGCCTGCTCTGAATGTTGTGTTTCTGCAGTGTAACTGTGAGGCCGACCTTCCAGTCATTGTTCCCACAGCTAGAACCGCCCCGCTGGGATGGAACCCTGCAGACCTCCCTGGATCCTGGAGCAGAGACAGCATGAATGAGTACATGTAACCCTTAGTAACAAAGACTTTCCATTTCAGTCCTTCACATCCTGATGTTTCAGGACCAGAATAAATCTCCACCCCCCAGCAGACAGTCACCTCGATGGTCTTGCTCCAGAGGGGCTGATGGGAGTTGGTGTCCCAGAGGTGAACCTGTTTGTCCTGAGAACAGGTGACAAACTGCTCCATGGACGGGTGGACGTCCAGACCCCACAGCTCGTCCGTGTGACCCTGAACACATCACATGTCTCAATTAATACACCAGACTGCAGCGTGCACAGATATGTCTATAAGCACCTTTAACTGATAACAAAATGATCACGATTCTTACTGTATTTTCAAATCCTATTTTATATTATTTTTCATCTTATATTGTATGCTTATATGGAACTGTCACAAAAAGTAATTTTCTCAGGGGTAAATAAAGTATTTCTGACACTGAAATGTGCTCTTCTTAAAGCTTACTGTGTGTGTGTTTGAATGTGTCTGTGTGTGTGTGTACCTGTACAATAGGAGTCAGTGTATCAGGGAAGGCGGCTCTGATGATAGCGTTCTTTGTGGTTCCTATGAAGAGTTCTCCAGGTTTACCCTCAGCCAGAGCCCGCACAGGACCCAGAGACTCGCCCACCTGAACACACACACAAACACAAAGCACACACACTCCCTTACAGGCAGCTCATATAGGATCTTAAACCCTGTATACAGCAAGAAAGATACAAACTTTAAAATAATGCCAAGAAAGAGGGACCTATACAATAGATGCCTCCCAACAAATTTTAAAGACACACTGATTTCCTCTTAAACATGATTATGTCTCAGTCTCTCTTCCCTCACCTCCATGTCAGCCTGCTTCTTGTAGTCGTGGTCCCACAGCACCACTTTGCGGTCCTTCCCCCCCCCGGACACCATGGTGCCGTCCTTCAGGACACAGACAGAGAAGATCCCGCCCTCGTGGGCCCCCGACACCACCTGGCTGATCCGGTACCCACCTGCCAATCAAAACAAAAAGGTCAGTCAAAAACCAGATATTTTACAAGTGAGAAAACATCCCCTGACACAGAGCCCAGGGAACATGAGTAGCACTGATGTATTAACATTCAGAGGTGGGAAGTAACTAAGTACATTTACTCAAGTACTGAACTTGAGTACAATTCGGAGGTACTTGTGCTATACTTGAGTATTTCCATGTTATGCTACTTCGTACTTCTACTCCACCCATTCAGAGGTACATAATGTACTTTTACTCCACTATATGTGTTTAATATAAGACCTAAATCCCAGACCAAATGCACGCCAAAGGTTCTTTGAGCATGTTTTCTCTCAGTGATAGTGATGTTATGTTTACTGTTTTTCTTGTATTGTGTCTTGATATTTGTCCATGTTGATGTTAAAAATGGAGCTGCTGGGATGTAAGTACAATTTCTGACTTGATCGGACCATTAAAGTATTATCGTATAATATCGTGTCGTAAAGTAAACTCTGGTACTTCTACTTTTAATCAACTACAAGATCTGAGCACTTCTCCCACCTCTGTTAACATTTCCTCATGACTTCTTTTAGTGTTGGAGAGAGCATCTCTAAATATCTGTAAACAACATCTGTATCATTGTGATGCATTCAGGCTCCACCTTTGGCCCAGACGTAGATGTTCCCACTGGAGTCTCCTGTGATGGCGTCTCCGTTCTCAGCGAACGCCACACACAACACATACTTTGGCTTCTCATGTTTCTATAGAGTGAGACATAGAGAGAGGGGGGGGGGTATTGCATAAATGACTGCATTTGGTTTGCTGCATATAATGTAAAAAGAAAAGGAAGGAATACATCCTTGACTTCTCTTTGCTTCTGTGCTGTTTGTGAATATGTAAATAAGGTGATGTGCTTAAATCTGGAGTCAAATGTACCTCTTTCCATGCACAAATTAGTTTAATTGCAAAAACAATCTAATTCAGATCAGTGCTAACAGCCACATGGGGAAATCAGATTACTGTAGATATACTTTATTTATACTAAACTGGACCCAGAATCCACTCCACCTGAAGTAATTTAGCTCTTGCATTTGTCCCTATTATTTCCATGAGAAGTGCCATATAAATACTAAATATTATTATTATAATCATCAGGCTTATTATTTACAGTCAGACTGGGATACTGTTTTCAAAAAGGGTTTCTCTCCGTCACCATTCAACTCTTTGCCCGCACCTCATCAGGCAGGACCTGTAGCTTTAGATCTGAAAATGTCATTTTCTTTTTCTCTTTCATATTTAGTTTTCCCCGTTTGTTTTTGGCGCAAAGGCAACCTTAATACTTCTTCACAACTGCAGTTGATAATTGCATGTAGCGGCAAAAAACGATATACAAGTATTTGTGTTGTTCACCATTAGCATAATATATATTTTTAGAATTTTTCTTTTGTAAGTGTGATGATGTTTAGGAGAGTGGTATGATCAGTTGCCGCACCTCGAACAGGCCCTGTCTCTTGGTCAGAGTGTTGCCCTCCATGGTCCAGAAGTTGATGTGAGATTTTCCACAGGTGACAATCAGGTTGGCATCCATTGGATGAAACACAGTGGCCAGGACAGAGTCGTTGGAGCACTGCAGAGACAGGAGGAAACATGTTTCTCTACCTCACAGCAAGCATTTGTAATATCGCAACCCATGCTGATAATATATACTGTTTGTTAATGATAAACAGGTCAACTATAATAATGCACCTGTATGAAGAGGTTCAATTGTCAAAGGTCACAGGTCAGGGTACCTTAACATCAGCCAGTTGCTTCTCCTTCTGCCAGTTCCACACACTCAGGACGTGGTCGTTGGCGTCGTCCGCAGCGCAAAGGAAGGAGCCGCCGTTCTGAGGGAAAACAAGGAGTTTATAAAAAGCATTTTGAATTCAAATGAATGTACAGTATATGAACTGTGCTTGTTATCAAAGCCTCAGCTCTACAGGATGTGAAGCTGCTCACCGACTTGGAGAAAGCCACGCAGCTGACGGCTCTGTCGAACACACCCATCCCGATCACATGCAGCGTGTTGAGGCTCACAGAGTCCCACACACGCACGTGAGGAGCCAGCAGCTGGACACAGGAGAGCAGAGCGTTAACATCTACACAAACATTTGGGAGGACATTGCAATTTCTTTGTTATTAGTTCATAAGAAGTTGACAAAAAAAAAAAAAAACAAGGACGCAACTACAAATACAAAATTGTAAACATCATTCCATTCAGCCAATTGGAGGTTGAAGGAACAATGTCAGAAGACAGTAACAAGAGAAAAGTTCAAATAGCATGGAGTGTGTGTGTGTGTGTGTGTGTGTGTGTGTGTGTGCAAAGGGAGGGTTTGCTTGTGTGTTAATGTCTGTTATGACAACCGTTTTTCATCAACAATTATTTGTTTCTATCTTCTTTAATTAATTAAAAAAATATTTAGGTAAATATGAAAATGATCTAACCCGTTATAAGTAATCATATGGTAATCAAACCCTTACTTTCTCAGTAAAAATACAATTATAGAAAAAACTAATTAGCCAGTGTCAGACAAACTGCACATCTGCTCATGTATATATATTTCTAAATACCTACTTTAAAGTCATCTGTGTCCAAATGTATTAAGTGAGTGAAACAGAGTCAGTAGGAGGATGTGAGCGGTGCTTTCACAGTACCTTTCCATCTTTAGAGTTTCCAGCCACTTGCCCCGTTGCTATGGTAACCATGTCAGGATGCACACTCAGGCTACGAAGAGAAAATGCAAATGAGTACATTTCTTTCCCGCCTCTGGCTTTTATGCAGATTCAAACAGCTGATTCGGATCAGACATATCACTGGGAAAATGTAATCACGACATTTTGTCACGACATGAGATGTTTTTAGGATTTACCATCACTTCATATTTTTTCACGACTGACACGGTTTTAATTTGGCAAATGTTTTTTTTTGTGTTGCCATAAATTATTCTCTCTCCGTTGGTGCGCGGGGCTAAGGCTAATAATGCTAATGCCAGCAAATACAATGGCAGTTTCAAAAAACTTTTCAGAGTTTTACGGGGCGTGGTTTGGAATTCGCCCAGCCAATAAAAATGTGTACTTTTTTCTCCCCAGGATAGTACCACCTCTCTAGCAGGCACTAAAAATGGGGGTAAAAGTTCCCGGCACTAAGTACTCTTTTTGGTGTGAACACAAAATAAGAGCTACTAACGGAGCCAAACGGGAAAAGTACGGGGAAAAGTACTCCAGTGTGAACGCGCCTGTTTTGAAGCTGTGCTCTTCCTCACCACTTGACGTCGTCGTTGTGGCCCAGGTAGTGCCTCTGCTGCTGCTCCTCCGTGTTGTACAGCACCACCACGGAGGCGTTGAAGTACACAATCTCTCCGGTGGGCAACAGGTAGAGGTTGGAGCGGCAGTCACGACCTCTGTAGCCGTACCTGGTCCACGATTTAGTTAGGGAACAAGAGGGGTGCAGCTGGACCAGCAGAGAAAACACTGATATTCAGTTCTTCAGTATTTCCAAGGAACGGTAGACCCACAGAGAATGAAGCTAATGCTGCTTTTACAATTTCCATAACGAAACCAAGCATATTGGCTTTAGGCAGTGGCGACTGGTCATTATGGGCAGGTGGGGCACAGCCACACCTAGTGTCAGCAGAAAGTATTACAAATAATGATTACAACAAAAAAAAAAATATATATAAAATATATTTTTTAAGATCATGTTTAATCATCCGATTCGTCTGTACATTGCTGTTTTAGTCTGTGTTCTTCTAATTAGTGTCTACAGTGTGTGCATATTGAGCTGTTTAGAGCCATGTGGGACAAAACCCGATAATGCCCCTCCCTCTCACTGTCTAAGTCAGGGGTCGGCAACCTTTTTGATATGAAGTGCCATTTAAAAAAAAATTGTTATCAGCGTGCCAACGATCGAGAATTATCAACGGGGGGCGGGGGTTGAGGAGCTTGACGCTCGTGAACTAGCAGGAGGGCGGGGGAGCCTCGCTG